TTGGTACACAGTATTTATTTGTTTTTATTATATGTACATTTAGTTATATTTGTTTCCCATGGAATAGTCCCATATAACCACCATTGTCCATATTACCACGAGGTTCAATTATAGCCCCGAGTTCCTACCAACATGCTAACCACCTTCATGAGGGGAGAAATGGGATTATTAGTAATGTGGACTAATGAACCCATTACTAGCAATGTACCATGTCAGGTTGACCTCCACGCGGTTCCCCCTGGAAACCATCGTGTTAAATTCCTGATGAATTTGAACGATGGGCTAACTGACCTGACCTCATGCTCATCTTATCATCCACTGGTGCCCCGCCAGCGTAAACCGTTAGCGCAGGCGGATGCACCATTCCATTATCACATACAAAAAAGAAAAAAAAACCACCTTCATGAAGGAAGACTACTGACCGAAGGGTGTGGTGCATCGGCGCTACCGTGGCAGATTACCATCATCAGTGCCGTAATCACATAGACAATTTGTTTCTTATAATCTTATAATTATATTATTCATATGTATGTTAGTCTGTAAGGTATTTATAATATGGGCCATTAGCTTCCTGATTTAAATAAATAAATAAAAATTATATGTTTAGTTTTTTTTCAAATAAATGAATATATCCGATCTGGATAATGAAAAACCTATATTCCATGTGGTTTTACAATGCTTTTTATATGTGTCTAGTAAATTAGTCCAGTAAGATGGTACACCTAGTTTTTTCGAATTCAAATTCCAAATATCTTTATTCACGTAGGTCTATTGCAGACTCTTATGATATGTCAAATCTACCGTCAGTTCGGAATAATTTCGTGATGAGAAGAACTGACAAGAAACTCAGCTCGTATTTAGTTTTTTCTAATTCAAATTTAAATTCAAATTCAAAATATCTTTATTCATGTAGGTCTATTACAGACTCTTATGATATGTCAAATCTACCGTCAGTTCGGAATGATTTCGAGATGAGACGAACTGACAAGAAACTCAGCTCGTATTTAGTTTTTTCTAATTCAAATTCAAAATATCTTTATTCATGTAGGTCTATTACAGACTATTATGATATGTCAAATCTACCGTCAGTTCGGAATGATTTCGAGATGAGACGAACTGACAAGAAACTCAGCTCGTATTTTTTTTTTAATAATTATGTATATGTTTACTATAATACAGATTCATTGTAAATTCAAATTTGGGAGAATAGAGTGACCACTGTGAGTGATCAGTGTTCGTTACCTGAACAGACCAGTCCCCACAAGCAGCACCCGTTCAGGAGTATGACGGATGAGTATATATATATATATTATGCGATTATGATTATGTATCGGGATGATGAAAACCTACGTTCTCTGTGATTTAATATTACTTTTTATACGTAACTATTAAAATAGTCCAGTAAGATAATACCTAAGATTGCGAAGGGTTTCTTTTTGGAGTTTCATGTTGATATTAAGTAACTAAAGTTAACAAACTAACTGTAGTTTGATAGTGATCGCGCGTGCGTGAAAGAATGCGAATTCCTTGAGGCTACAGTTTTGATTCGACATGACAATATTGACCTCAGAGTGGTGAAATTATAATGCAAAAACAGATCTAATTATTTCATATGTTGTGACAAGGCTAAATGTGTAATTGTGAACGTATGGTTAACAATATTTTGATGGCTTATTAACTTTGAAGGCGTTATGTCCTAGTGATTAACTAACGAATTAAATTCCATAGGTCGTGAGATCGAATCTGGCTAATAAAGGCTTGTTATCGGGGTAACTATCATCGGAGAGTTAATCAAAGATATAACAACTAAGGACGATTCACGCAGCGTTTTTAACCATCTAGTCCCAAGCTAAGATACATTACACATACATAGAAAACACCCAGACCGATATAAACATCGTGCTTAATTTACTAAACTGTTAGACCTGCGGATTCACGGCTATATTCGAATGACATGTATAAGTACAAACTCCATTTTAAAAATTCTATTGTAAGTTGTAGTTTTTGGAAAAATAGTTTAACTAAATTAAAAATATATTAACTAAAAATATTTAAAGATATTAAACAACTGATAAAAATACACAAATATTTTTATTTTTGTAGATACTTATATATATATATTCTAAATGTAATATGATAAGAATGATATTTATTGGAATAAATAATTTTCTATTCTAGTGTTTTAATTTTTAAGCTTTATTCATCTTATAATCTTGAATCTCATCATTATAGTCTTGAAAATAAGAGAGAAAAATAACAACATCCTGCATATTAATTGCAGTGGTAACGCATTTTCTACTCACTTCCGATCAAATTCATTACTTTTTTTTAGTGAATCGTGAGATATAATTGACAAATTACTTTTTTCTCGTGTAATGAATTACAGAATCATGACAATCTGAATTTCCAAGTCACGTTTTGATCGAGTGAAACTATATCCTGGTTTTTTTTTCTGACCTTGGGTTTCAAACTCTATTCGACGACTATTATATGAACAATTTTTTTTCTTGTCGGTACTAAATTAAGTCAACTCAATTTTTTTGTGATTGGAATGGTAAACAAGCTTATACTGAGTAGCGCCACCATTACGTAGCATAAAACAAAGTTGCTGTCGCTGTCTGTCCCTATGTATGCTTAAAACTTTAAAACTACGCAACGGATTTTGAAGCGGTTTTCTTAATAGATAGAGTGATTCAAGAGGAAGGTTTATATATATAATACATGTACACCTGTGCCAAGCTGGGGCGGGTAGTTAGTTATCTATATTTATGAACGGAACCATTGATATCACGTTATCATACCACGACTCATGCATTGTTATTCTGGAGAACTAAGACTATAATTTCACTGCTTCATCTTTAACCGACACATAACTTACAAAACTTCATCTTACAGCCACTAATTACATTGTTTCCTTTATATAAAAACTAGCTGTCCCGGCAAACGTTGTTTTGCCTTAAAATAAAAATAAATAATTTAGGGGTGGACTACCCCTAACATTTAGGGGGATGAAACATAGATGTTGGCCGATTCTCAGACCTACTCAATACGCTCAAAAAATTTCATGAGAATCGGTCAAGCCGTTTCGGAGGAGTATGGGAACGAAAACTGTGACACGAGAATTTTATATATAAGATGTAATAGCATATCCTGGTGATGACTACATTCTCCCTAATTCAATTAAAAAATGAATCTGTATTTTTGTAATAATGTACAAACTCATTTGAAAGGAATAAGAGCTGAGTGTATTGTCAGTTCTTCTTAGATCGAATGCACTCCGAACTAACGTAGATTTGACATATCATAAGAGTCTGTAATAGACCTACATGAATAAAATATTTTGAATTTGAATTTCTTTTATATGAAAATGTAATAGCGTATCCTTGTGGTAATTACATTCTCCCTAATATAATTATAAAATTGAATATTTATATATTTCTTTTTAATCTCGTACAAGCTCATTTGAAAACAATTAGAGCTGAGTTGTCAGTTCTTTGTAGATCGTATGCATTCTGAACTGACGGTAGATTTGACTTAATATGAGAATCTGTAATCGAACTACATGAATAAATATATTTTGAATTTGAATTTATTTTATATGAAAATGTAATAGTGTATCCTGGTGGTACTACATTCTGCCTTATTGAATTAAAAAATGAATCGCTTTTTTTTAATCCTGAGCAAGCTCATATGAAAAGAGAGCTGAGTTTCTTGTCAGTTCTTCTTAGATCGCAAACAGTCCGAATTGACGGTAGATTTGACATATCTGTAATATACCTACATGAATAGAGAGATTTATTAATACTAGATTTAAAGACAAACTTGCTGTCCCCAAGTATCGTTTAGAAAAAGTCAATAGGTCTTTTATGGGAATAGGTATAAAAATTTACAATAAGATACCAAAGGATATGTTGGAATTACCCTTAAATAAATTCAAAACATCTGTTAAATCATATTTACTGAGCAAGGACTATTACTCACTAAACGATTACTTGAATGACGAGCGTGCATGGCAATAGTTTTCATGTTCGGGATTTTCATTTAATGTTAGACATAGACACCTATATAAATGCATTGTAAATAAACTGGATTTAAAAAAAAAAGTAATTCAATTGAGTTTCTTGCCAGTTCTTCTCAATTGGATCTATATACCGAATTGGACGGTAGGGAAAAAAATTATAATGTAAAACTTGACGTTCATAAGCGGCTAAAATGTCCTACATAAATAAATGATTTTTGAATTTGAATTTGAATTTGAAAGAGATATTCAGATTCGATTTGATTTGAAATAAACAAACAGGGATGAAGGTGACTGTTTATAAAGTGGACTAATTACCCCATAGACTAGCAATGTATCATATCAGGTTGACCTCCACGCGGTTCCCCTGGAAACCATCGTGATGAATTCCTGGTGAATATGTCACGATGGGATACTGACCTGACCAAATGTTCAACTTATCATCCTCCATTGGTGCACTGCCAACGTAAAGCGTTAGCGCAAGCGGATGCACATGGTAATCATCTATTTAAAAAAGATAGATAGCAATGTACCATGTAAGGTTGACTTACAAGCGGTTCCCACTAGAAACTATCGTGATAAATTCCTGGTGAAATTGTTGCAATAGGCCAACTGACCTGACCTCATGCTCATCATACTATCCTCCACTGATGCCGCGCCAGCGTAAATCATTAGTCCAGGCAGGTTCATCATTCCATTAAAAAAAACGAAGCAAGCAAGAGCAAGTACCGGTCAAGCAAGTGTCAGTACATTTTAAATTTTTATTTACGCATTGTTGATGATTTAATTATAATATATTTTGTGATATCACAACAAAGTTTTTAGAAAAATTTATGAATTAATAAATTTATAACTAATAAATAAAAAAAAAACATTATGCTCGTGAAAATTTATTACCTATATCCGACTTATATGCTTACTTACGAAATATCAGCCGTCATATTAAAAAAACTTATTAAAAATATAAATCTTAAATACTCACCACTATGAAATACATTTTATTATTAATATTATTAAAAATAATCACAATTTCACACACTATTCAAAACACACCAACAAATAGGGATGTCCGCATACTTTCTCAAATCGATATTTCGATATCGATGTTCGAATTCAACGACGTTCAGCGACACTACAACACGGGTGTGTAGCGAGACCGTTTGATACGGAATGCAGTAGGATGAAGTGCGTGCGCGCAGAATGCATTGGCAAGAGTTTTAATACTGCATCATTACAAGTTGGTCGGAAGTCCTGCTGATTACGTAGATCCAGTATTTAATTGATATTGTATCAACATTGTATTGTTAGATTTGCCTATTGTATTTACTCTATACTATGCTCTAATGACTATGACTGATTTAATCTTTGTGTATTTAATATTTGATCCTAATAAATGACGAGAGTGCATGGCAATAGTTGATCATGCACGGGATTTTAATTTAATGTTAGACATAGACACCTATATAAATACCTATACATTGTATATAAACTGGCTTTTAAAAAAAAGTAATTCAATTGAGTTTCTTGCCAGTTCTTCTCAATTAGATCCATATACAGAACTGGATCTTAGGGAAAAAGAAATATAATTTAAACGGTTGACGTTCATAAGCGGCTAAAATGTCATACATGAATAAATGATTTTTGAATATGAATTTGAAAAATTAGTGCTAGTTGGTAGTTTGTATTCACACGTTTCAACTTAAAAATGTAAAGTTACAACGATTATTTAAAAGAGCAACACTGAAGTTTCTTGAATCGAAATATATATACATTCCTATACAAGTTCTTCTCAATTGAATACTGAACTGGACGGTTTTTTATTTTAATTTTCTTTCCTTTTCTCCTTCCATCTCCCATCAGCCATCAGCTATAATCAGATGTATTTTTTTTTTGGGTTATGTCGACCATTGACGTGAATTCCTTTTATTGTATATTCCAGCAAGCACGTTAATAAGCACTAAGGTGCTTATCACAGAGTATTAAGTCTTACTTATTTTGTACTTATATTTTGGCTAAACGTTCCCTCTTCAAGCGGAATATATCATCACGGGTATCTGGAAGCTTTAGGGCTAATTTGTTCGCATGGTATCCAAGTACGTCTCACACAGTCGACTGACTTCATCCTTAATAGTTGGTATTTTGAGGTGAATGGTTACCGTAGCCTATGGAAGCCTAAAACACCATGAGTGTCACGTGCGCGTTGCCGACCCTTAAGAAACCCTACCATTCTTGAAAAACCCTTCGTCTAATTATCTTTACAAACAAATAACTAGTCAAAGCAATAACAAAATCATTTACAAAATCTTCAATATTTCAAGACAATGTTTTAAGTTATATTATTGTCAAAAGTAATCGAGCATCGATTTAGACGTCATTCGATAAATCGATAAATCGTAAAGCCGGCGGCAGTGAATCGAGGGCAAACCTTTTGTCGTGACTCGTAAGTTGCGTTATTCTCAATTTTCTTAATGATAATGCTCTCAATAGATAATGATACAGTAATGATTGACATCAAAATGAGTATCGTTGGCTATTTTTGACCAAATTTAATCACTTCAAAGTTTCTTGTGATGTGATCAGTAGAACCGGAGATTACCCCGATCAAACAGACATAGAAACCTTACCTTTTTATAATTTTAGTACAGATAAATAAATATATATTAATGGGGGATTATTAGTAATGGGGAACAGTAGCCCCATTGTTAACAATTTACCATGTTAGGTTGACCTCCACGCAGTCCCACCTAGGAACTATAGTGGTTTTTTTTAACTGATGATAGGAATGGTGCTCCCGCCTGCGCTAACGGTTTACGCTGGCGGGGCACCAGTGGAGCATGATAAGATGAACATGAGGTCAGGTCAGTTAGTCCATTGTGATAAATTTCTGGTGAACTTGTCACGATGGGCTAACTGACCTCAGAACTGTCAGTTAGCACATCGTGACAAATTCTCTAGGAATTGACCAATCTTAAATACCTGTCGTACAGTCCGAAAATTCCTCGAAATCGATGAAAAGGATATAACACCAGTCACACAATAAGTACACACACACTCACACACACACACACACACACATACACACACTCTGCACTTACTTGGTTTCGGCCCGTAAGTGTGGAGAAAACCAGCAAAAGCTGAGAAAAAAAAAATAATAAATTCAGGACAATTCACACAGCGCCATCTAGTCCCAAGCTAAGCAGAGCTTGTGTTATGGGTACTAGACAACTGATATAAATACATGGATACATTTTTTTTGTAAATAAATACATATTACACATAGAAAACACCCAGACCGATACAAACAATCATACTCATGAATACAAATGTTTGTACCGTGCGAGGAATCGAACCCGCGACCATCGGATAGTAAAGCGGTGTGCTAAACCACTAGACCACCGAGGCTGTCAAATATTTACTTGGCAACTATCAGGTGTAATTTACTATTTTATAGTTATAGGTTATAGTTGTGCTTAGTTTGGAACTAGATGGCGCTCTGTAACTTGTCTAGGTATATTATTATGATCTCAATATATCATGGTTAAACTGATGATTAGTACCGAGTACGGCTATGCCAAGTCTCTCGTTACTTTATTATTAGGTATTAATTTTTAATATTATTTCAATATTACAGCTAAGCTGGAATTAGTACCGAGTACGGCTATGCCAAGTCTCTCGTTACTTTATTATTAGGTATTAATTTTTAATATTATTTCAATATTACAGCTAAGCTGGAATTAGTACCGAGTACGGCTATGCCAAGTCTCTCGTTACTTTATTATTAGGTATTAATTTTTATTGTTATTCCAATATTACAGCTAAGCTGGAATTAGTACCGAGTACGGCTATGCCAAGTCTCTCGTTACTTTAGTATTAGGTATTAATTTTTAATAATATTTCAATATTACAGCTAAGCTGGTGTTAGTACCGAGTACGGCTATGCCAAGTCTCTCGTTACTTTATTATTAGGTATTAATTTTTAATAATATTTCAATATTACAGCTAAGCTGGAGTTAGTACCCAGGACGACTATGCCAAGTCTCTCGTTACTTTATTATTAGGTATTAATTTTTATTATTATTCCAATATTACAGCTAAGCTGGAGTTAGTACCGAGTATGGCTATGCCAAGTCTCTCGTTACTTTATTATTAGATATTAATTTTTATTGTTATTCCAATATTACAGCTAAGCTGGAATTAGTACCGAGTACGGTTATGCCAAGTCTCTCGTTACTTTAGTATTAGGTATTAATTTTTAATAATATTTCAATATTACAGCTAAGCTGGTGTTAGTACCGAGTACGGCTATGCCAAGTCTCTCGTTACTTTATTATTAGGTATTAATTTTTAATAATATTTCAATATTACAGCTAAGCTGGAGTTAGTACCCAGGACGACTATGCCAAGTCTCTCGTTACTTTATTATTAGGTATTAATTTTTATTATTATTCCAATATTACAGCTAAGCTGGAGTTAGTACGAGGACTGGCTATGCCAAGTCACTCGGCTCGACAATGAATTATAAATACCAGACATTAATATTGATCTTGAGAAAGGCGGTCACGTGGGCGATACGTTACCACTCGCATGTTTAAGTGAATATCACTCACTAAGTACAGCGATCATGTATTTGAAGGTTGAGGTCATGGCGGGATCACGAACACGCCGAGTTTTTTAAATTACAATCGATGTTAAAAGTAACGACTTTGTATTGACAAGTTATCAATATGTACTGGTCTGCTCCAATCACTTTGACTGATTTAATTTTATTGTGTACTAGCTGTGCCCGGGGTGAACCCGCGTCAAATTTCAATATAAAATATAGCCTATGTGTTATTCTGATGCATAAGCTATATTACTGTATCATCATCATCATCATCATCGCAGCCCGGAAGATGTCCACTGCTGGATATAGGCCTCCCCCAAACATCTCCACGATGATCGGTCCTGCGCTGCTCGCATCCAATGCTTCCAGCGATCTTGACCAGATCGTCGGTCCACCTTGCTGGAGGCCTTCCCACGCTGCGTCTTCCAGTCCGTGGTCGCCACTCGAGGACTTTACTGCCCCAACGGCCATCTGTCCTACGAGCTATGTGCCCTGCCCATTGTCACTTCAGAGTCGCAATTCTTCGGGCTATGTCGGTCACTCTGGCTCTTCTGCGGATCTCCACATTACTGATATTACTGTATAGTTTCATCAAAATCCGTTCAGTAGTTTTTGCGTGACAAAGTAACAAACTTACGCATTTGTAATATTATAATATATATATTTATAATAATAAGCTATAATATTTTAACCCTAATAAATTAGTGCTAATTGGTAGTTTGTATTTTTTATTTCGACTTAAAAATGTAAAGTTACAACAATTATTTAAAAGGTGTTGCTCTTTTAATCAGTATATTTTTTATTAATATCTATCAGAATCTTTTATAGTTTCGGTGCAACCCGTACATTGGTCCTTCGAGCCGAATCGCAACCAACCTACTTCATTTATAGGCTTTTGTGAAGAAGTAAAATAAAATTATTAAAAATGTGAACAGAGTAAAAACATTTCTTTAATAAATAATTTGTTAATAACACTGGTATACGAGAATCATTACATAGTATAAAACAAAATCGCTCTTGCTGTCTGTTCGTCCCTATGTATGCTTAAATCTTTAAAACTACGCAACGGATTTTGAAGCGGTTTTTTTTAATAGATAGAGTGATTCTAGAGGAAGGTTTATATATAATACATGTACATCCGGGCGAAGCCGGGGCATGTAGGTAGTTTTTTATATAAGATAATTAGTTATGGGTGTATATTGATAATTGTTAATATGCACATCTAATTCGAGTATGTACGATAAACGTTTTAATATTTCATGGTTCACGTTTCACCTTACTAAGGCCATGAGTGTAGGTCATTAGTCAATAGTTTTGAATAATTATAGATCCTTGTTCACACGGAATGTTTGAAAAATTATCTTAATCATTAATTAATTATTAATCTACTAACTACTCGCCCCGGCTTCGCACAGGTGCACATGTAATATATATATAAACCTACCTCTTGAATCACTCTATCTATTAAGAAAATCGCTTCAAAATGTGTTGCGTAGTTTTAAAGATTTAAGCATACACAGAGACAGACAGTTACAGCGACTTTATTTTATACT